AAAGAAATATTAAATAATATTTATACATTAAAAAAAATCTGTTTAAAATCTGTTTTCCGTTAATCAGCTGTCGCCCACATACGAACGACAACTCTCAGAAGTTGAGAAACTTGTGCGAGCTAAAGACTAACGAGGTCTTTTAACGTATAATTCCTAACACGGAAAAGTGGAAAAGTGAAACCTAATAATTGTTTATAGAAACTGTCTGCAACATTTGCCATTTATTTTCAAACTTAGTTATAATCATTCTCCTTATTCTGATAGTAGTTCACAAGCAGGTGGATGTGATGTCAAATATCTCTTTTAAAACAGGCTAATTTCCATCTTCTCTCAAAATTGGAAAGGCTATTCATGTTCATGAAAAAAAGTTATGCCCAGAAACTTGAAAATTACAGGCCTATAACGATCTCCAGCAGCTTCCCGAAAGTTTTCGTATATGGCTATTGATCAATTTCCTTGATACACAAAACATTTCGTAGAGATCAAGGTAGTAAATAGGCTTCTCACCATTTCTACAATGATCTTATAAACTGCATTCATCAGATGAGATCACGAAATATCGTGATCAGTGTCGCTCACGATATTTTGATTTCATAATAATAATATAACTACGGTATAAGAGGTATAGGTCTGAATTGGACGTCGATACAATTCATTAGCTTGAAATATAGTAAAACCATGCAGTCTATGATACTAAATCTTCCACTACTCAAATTGATAGCGGTGTTCACTAGGGCTCAGTCTTGGGCCCGGTTGTCTTCATTTCATATATAAATGAAGTTAGTAATTAATCTTCTGAAGTAAAATTGACCATCTGCGCTGATGACTCTTTCATGATTTTATCTCACATTGAGTTTGTTATAATTGAAAGAAACTGGTGAGACTACTTTGAATCAACTCGTCTCTAGGTTCAATCTCATGTACATTTCAATACTGAGAAAACTAATTTCAATCAGTTCCACCCAAAAGAAAAAATGGAATAAATAGATATATTCGTTAATAATACTTAATTATCCGCAGTAGAGAGTTATAAATTTTTAGGCCGGGAAATTCCAATGTA